AAATAGATATAGTTGTCGACCAAGTTCTATCCAATTGCTGGACCAAAGAGCTGAGCCCACTAACTGATAGCAGAGTCAACAGCTGTTTATTGACAAGTTCGCCATCTAATATCAGTGGCAATGGGAACCGCCCAAAAGTCGAGACTAAGCGGGCTGAGAAAACCACTTGCACAGGTTGGAGCTTTATATCGGCTGGCGGGGTAACTACGAAACATCGCTGCAATATATATACGCTGCTAGGAGTTCTGTCTGAGTCAAGAAAAGATTGCAAGGCTTAGGGGTATGAATAGGTGGGAAAGGGGTCTCCCAGGAGCTATTGCAGAGACTAACCAATACTAGTAAGGACAAGACTGCAGGAAATAACCTGTAGTCTTGAGTTTCCAATAGATGATTTTAGAGAAATATTAATGTCTGTCCGACTATGACTAACGTAAATCACAGCCACTTAATGGCAGCCTGTACAACAAGTTTCCATTATAAAGCAAGACCTATTCATCCTGATGAATAGTTAACTGACTGTATAGTTGGGAGTACTAATCAAACTTATTGTCATTATATCCTTAACTCGAATGGGAGTAGTCAAATCCCTACTTATCTAAATAGTTAAATTTCCAAGTTTGATATCTGGTATGTAGCCTACGGGGTAATTATAGGTCTAAAATGAAAAAGAAAGTCGATATATATAGATCTTCTGTATAAAGGTTATTTATCAATACTTATATATATCAAGGCATATGGTACAAAAGTGGTGAAGTTTACTTTCAGATGATAGTAAATGTAGCAGTTAATATCTTCCAATCTAGCAACTATAAAATTATCTTCGATTACACCGTATATATCTATTTCTCCAGATCGTTATATCTCACGCCTCATGTCATTTATATTTAAACACCGGGAAGTGGGAATCCACCAGTTGCGGGCCAATCTCCCAGTCTACCAGGATCTCCGCCTATTCGGACGAAGGACGCAACAGAAGGTGTTGGACCATCGAGTACGAATAGCATGAACCATCCCGGAGGGCATGTGTGGCTATCCGGTGGTGCTGTGATGGTGCAAGTACCGAAAGAGCAAGAGAAGGCAGGGAAGATAGTCCTGGAGCCAAAGCTGTTTCCATGGGTGCTCGAAACCATGCCCATTAAGGATATCTTAATTCTTGATTGATTGCCGGATGTGATCTTGATTTTGTATTTCCCGCCATAGGCCCAGTCCTTGTTGGTAATGGTAAACGTTGGACGGCGGGCTCCTGACAGGATGTAGGGGGGGAGGAAAACCTCAACTCGGCGTTCCTGGGGGAATCGAGGGTCCTGTGGGTCTGAGCCGCTAACCAAGACACGACCGTCTGCCATCAGAATTGCTTCTGAATGGTACATGCGGGCAATAGTGGTGTTTGCCATGATGCTCATACGCTGGTTGACCGGCTTTGAAGGATCATATAAAACAGCTCCGAGATTGGGGTCTTCAGCGAGGCCGAAGCCAGCAACACCCTTCCTTGCTCCATTCAAAATGAGGAACGTTCCATCGGGAAGGCCGGCCATACAGGTGAGAACTCGTTTGGAAGGCTATATAGTAACGTCGTTAGAAAAAAAGGATAATTTTTGTTTGTTCGTCTTTACAGAGAGGGGTTTGGCTCACCATTCGTTCTATCACCCATTCGGCGTTAGGTACTTCTGGCTGAATAGAAACACAATTATCTAAAGCATCACCGCCATAAGGCGTAGAGCCACCGCAAATCAAGACACCAAGGGGATCGGTATAAGGAGCTTTCTGGGGTAAAAGTACCATGGTACCCTCTAGAGGGTACGTTCGTCCTCCGGCGTCATTATTGACAGCTCCTGGGATATTTGGCAGGGTTTCGACAGTGTCAAAGGTCCGCTCATCCAAGATCCTTGCTTCGTTGTAGTAAGCAGCTAGGATGTTACCGCCAGGAAGTGGTGTAAGGTAGGGATAAAGGTTGTTTGGGTCAGTCCTCTTCAACCAGTCCATGAACAAGACTGGGCCAACTCGGGGAAGAATCTCTAGAGTGGGTACAGGTGCACCATTTGATCCTTCTTCGCCTCCAACAACCAGGATAGAGCCGTTTGACATTGTCATCGCAGTGGGATACCATCTTCCGTTCTGCAATTTCAAGTCATCTGGACTTTCATGCCAGTCATTTACTCCAGGCTTCCCGGGAGAGCCATCAGGCCAGTAGAGTCGGACACCCTCAGTTGATATGCCAGACCAGCCACCAACCGTCAGTTGTCTACCGACCTTGTCTGGGAGAACAAGTCCTCCAGCACAGAAGATGTCCGTCTTAACATGCATTTCGCGCCATGCCTTGCTGAAATCTTTCTCATAATAAGGGTCAAATTCATATGCTCCAGTGGTGTTTGGATCTCCAGTTCCAGATTTCTCCTGGAATGTTATCTTGCCATTGATACCAACAGTGGTAATAAGAGGAACGAGCACTCCACCGATCAGGAATTCGTAGCGTCCGGCATTGATTCCAGTTGGGCGGTTCCATTTTTGCAGGGGTTCATCCATCCACCTGTAGTATGTGATCAAGTTGCCAGCACCGCATATAGCAGTCGCATTACCAGAGCAGGTCTGGCTACACATAGCCTCAGGTACCAGTTTAGCTCCGGCAACCGCAATATCCTCGAAATCTCCACAGACTAGGTATTGTGGTTAGTTACAGAGCCAGTCTATATATTTCAGATAGGAAGAGCTTACAGCATTCTTCCGAGTACGTCATCCCACCTGCTCCGAATCCAAACTTGGAGCAACGACTGAGACAGTTTGTAGCGGTGTTGTTCGTCTTGTCAACAATCTGGTAAGGGAAAGTTCTCTTCATGTTGACATTGTCCCTAGAGAGAATGGTAAGTTTGGCTTTGCATCCACGGACATAGGGTATCATCTTACTGGAGGCATCCCTGATACTTCCAACCACCTGGTAGGCCGCCGGTCTGTGGCACAGGGATAGGGAGAACGGTCAGGTTACCCTTTGAATAAACACTCAATCGGTTAGGGCCACCGCACTTCTGCTGTGTATTGCCGCTGCAGGTCATGGAGCACTCAGATTCTATTGCCTTCGGGGCAGCGTTCCGAAGATAATTGTCACAGAAACATTGTTTAGAGAATTCGGCTCCTGCAACAGTATAGCCCAACTTGACACACATTGTGATACAGGATTCGGCCGTGAGTGTTGAGCTATCAGGCAACATCTTGAACATGACACGCCCTCCGTTGACATTGTCCTGGTAGCAGCCGGAATACTGCCAGCCGTCCGGCAGCCCCTGAGTCGGCTCAGGTAAAGACGGAGTTGTCGACGACCCGGTCTCTGTCGAGGGAGCTGAGGTTGTCATGGTGTCTGTTGGCTTGATGGCGGTATTTTGATACAGGTTTAGCCTTCCTGGCCCTCCACATTTCTGCTCAGGATTGCCATTGCAAGGCATTGAACACATTGCCTCTCCATCAGGTGCAGGGCCGCCGCCGTTCCGTAGCTGATTATCACACCAGCACTCGCTACTGTACTCAACTCCGGCAAGCGAGTATCCCTGGGACGCGCATCCGTTTTGACAGTTGGCAACGGTCATGTTTCCAGGGCCACCAAGGGTGTACCCGACCTGGCCAAGGGTTCTTGCTCCCACCTGATCTGTGTAACATCCTAGGTAAGTCCAGGCATCAGCGTCTGCCCTTGGGATCAAAGCTGCTCCATGGGCAAGCTTAGCAAGTAGCGAGAACTAGTATATATTAACACGTTGAAAGGTGAAACGATAGTTATGAATCCGTTGATGAGTTGAAACATACAAAAAAAAGGCTGGTGATGTGGACGACGAGGAGTATTCCAGCCATCTTGTCCAGGCTGATAATTCTTTAGCAGCCAACTCAGGGCAGGCACAGTCGTGTACTCTCTATCTCTCTCTCTGTGTATGCACGCTTGTCTGTCTGTATCTATCTCACTCGCTGATGGTAAGAGAACAGGCTTATATCTGTTGTACCAAGTCAGCCAGACAGCTCCAGTATGATCGGACGACCAGCTCGAAAGATCCCTACCTCAGCCGTAAAAACAAACGCACTTCACAGGCTCTATACTCCGGACAGATGGTCCCAAGAGATCCAAGATCAACAATAAGAGCTGCCCAGAGGAGCCAAATTTATACGTTTTCTCTCTTTTTTAGCAACACCCCTACCCTGGAGTGAAGGGTCATGCCACCCTTTCTCTTTGCTTTGGCTCTAGCGAGGGAAGAGCCCAATTTAACAGGGCTGCTAGTAAATTCGGCCGTGAAAGAAGCCGGTGCACTCGTGCGTTTCGCCAGTAAATGTATGGTGATGGCACGGGCATGATAGAGCAGCGCCGAAACTCTTGCATATAGCTTTGAGACATTCCCATTTTGCGTTCTCCTGCAGGAATGGCAGATATGAGCTGGGCTAGTTATGGAGGGGTATGCGGCCGCATACGAAGAGCAAAAATAAAACCAGACTGATTTCCTATTTCAGGGGTATTGCTGGTAACGGTTTGTCATTCAAACTGCACTTGGGGGGGGTGGCACCGATTTGAGCTGGACATGCTAACTCGAAGCATACACCGAAGACAGAGAGGACTAGGGAGAGCTAAAAAAGAAAATAGAAAAAGACAAATTTAGCATCCCCAGAGTTCACCAGTGGCGGGCTGGGGCATGAAGGGTCCTCTGGACGAACACTCCACGGCTGATCCTCTCCCATGGGCCGGACCAAGGGTGTGATGGGTGAACGCTGGCTCGTGTGATCGCGACCTCGTTCCTTTTTATGCAAGACATTCACTGCTCCGGGCAGTCCGTCCGTATCATTCAGAGCAGAGTTGTCGTGGGATAGCCACTGGTTGCACAGATCTGACCGGCCTGTACACACAAGCAATTGCTACCACAGCCTGTCGTGCAGGAGTTCATCGAGAGGAACAGGTAAAATGGACACCCCCCTGGCAAATTCCCTAGCTGTCTGGTGAAACTGCACCTCGAGGCTCTAAAGCATCGCCATGCCACTCGCCATCTGTCGGAGTTAGCCTGGAGAAGAGCGGGCCTGGCATCAAGATACGGAGCCCGGCCCTGGTATCCCTTGAGGCGAGACAGCAAGAAAAGAAGACATTGCATCACTAGTCAATACATTGCAGCCCTTGCCCCTGTCTGCGATTAGGTTTTGATATTTTTTTTGGGGGGGTGTTCTCTTTGCTTTTTTCTCCTGACCAGCTTATCGAGAGTCAACACTCGCTCACCTGGCCGTAAGTAAGTATGCTGTTGGCCTGCTCGGCATCCTTTGCTGTGATTCCGGTTGTAGGGATCAGCTTTGAGAGCAGAGTTCAATAATATAACGGTGATAACGCTGAATAGTGTTAGTTATCTCGGCAATTTTACCTGCGGATAGCTCGGCGCAGTTACGATGAAGGTAAATAATACGAGAGAAAGCAATGAAGTCGAGCACTTATCACAAGGTGACGGAGGAACTTGCTAGTTTGTTACTGGGTTGATTACAATGGTGCTGTGTTTTATATCACCCACAGGTACCCTCCTGCCACATCTTTACCGACCTGACGGTCATACCGCGGCTGTTGTCCTTGGCCCAGGTCGGGTAGAACTTGTCCAGGCCTGTGCGGGTAAATTAGCTGACCTGACCTGACACGTAGTGAATAGAGGGCAAGTCAAATTAGTTTACGTACTGGAGTAAAAGTCTGCGGCCGCCCGGCCGACGTCAGTCCACGGCTTGCCTCCTTTGCCATCAGGGAACCAGCCGTTTGTGCTGCCCACGGCGACGTTGAGGATGAGGAAGAAGGGCTGGTCGAAGGGGGTGTTTGGATTGCCGGTCTGAGACCAGGGATCTTTGACCAGAGAGGAGTTGACGGCCACGCCCTCATAGTGGCCCTTCTGCCACATGGTTTGGTCCTTGTCGAAGCTCCAGAACAGGACCTGCTGCAGCGGGCTATCGATGTAGGTGAACAGGTAGTCCTTCGACCACTCAATGCCGAAGGTGTGGAAGCCCTTGGAGAAGTCGGTCCGCCGCAGCGCCCTGCCTCTCGTCGACCGCCAGAACGAATCCGTCTCCGGCGTTGGTCCTGTCGATCAGCAGTCAGTTAAGCATGCAGAGTCAGCGGGACGAAGTAGACTTACCCCAGTGCAAAGAGCTAGACATGATGTCTCTGCCACCAGCGGGATAGTCGACGTCATTCCCACGAGTCTCGACGAGGTCGATCTCGCCGCTCGACGGCCAGGCGCCGTATGTCTCATTGACCGGCAGCATCCCTGGTTAGCTATGTCAGTAACAAGCAAAACAGTTGTAGCAGGCCAACTGGCTGGTATAGGGGGCGGCAGGCGTACAGATGGCTGGCCACAGCCATTCTCCGCGCGGCATCTTCGCTACAACCTCCACTCGCCCGTAGCGGATACTCTTCTTTCCCCGGGTGTTAAGACGCGCTGACCGGACCGGCGGGATGATCGCCCCCGTCGTCTTGTTCGAGCGCATTGAACAGGCAGCGTTGGAGGTTCCTGTGCAGGACCCGTCACCGCCAGCCTTGGTCAGGTTCAGCGTGTAGCCATCGACCAGCTGCTCAGGGGTGATCGAGGTGGACTCCGTAGTCAGCGTAGGGACGATATGCAGGCCCTCGCCGTCGACAAACACGTTCTTCTCGTCCGTCGTCGTCCAGTCAAAGGCTCCGGTCCCGAATCCCCCGATCTATGCCTGCAGTTAGCTAACTCTTCTGCTGCTGCAAGCTGTCAAACAGCAGCCGGGAGAGGTCAAACATGCCTGGACCTCACGGTTCCATGTGGCTTCATTGAGCGAAGAGAACTGGTCGTCCAGTATAAGGCAGTACTATAGATACCAATTAGCGACGAGCCAACACTCTCAACCGAATAGCAAGCAAGTTAAACAGCAATTAAACAAGTAACTAGCCTGAAATGAAACATTGTAACCTGCCTGGTGCTTCGACACCTTCTGGGTGACGGTGAAGTTGATGTATGCACTAAGGGCCAGCCCCAGCCCGATGAAGCCCCAGATGATGTAGGAGCCAACGCGCGATCTCTTCAGACGGCTGTCCCCCAGCCACGGCCGCTCATACTCGCCATTCAGTCGATACGACTTGAACTGCTGGCGCCGGCCTGGCTGTCTGTCGGACGGCTGCGAGTGGTATGAGGCCGTCCGCACAGAGGTGGCCACGCTGCTGGAAAAGGGGTCCTGCAAAGCTGCTTTCTCCATCTCTGTGCCTGACATCAGCTTCTGGAGAGCCCGATATCACACTCGTCCAGCCGGTGCATCGCGTCTTCTTTATGCTGGCGTGCCAGTCCGCCGTCGTCTTGGTCAGACAATCTGGCTCCGTATATACTTGATTCGCCATATACACCACTCCCCCCCCCTGGGTGACCCATAATAGCGGCACAATCTCTTATCCGTCCAACATGCTCACCTTCGCCGCGCACTGCATGGCATCTCCCTGGTCGTCCGAGGCAAGATTGGGCCCAGATACATGTAGGTATCTCATCTGCTGTCTCAGGCTAGTTGGAATGCTGAAGGGGGCTGGCGGACAGGGGGATCCCTGGGCCATGGCACCGCTTCGTCTGGCGCCAAAGCAGATGTCCTTTGCTCGATATTCTCCATTGATATGCTGACCAGCTAACTAGCTGTTCCCTCGACCCGCAGAGCGGAGAGAATTCCCCTTCTTGCGGTGTTCTTCGGTGTTTCGATGACACTCTCGTGAGAAGCTGTGCGAGGCCGGTGATAGGAGGCCGTTCTGGCTTGCCCTGGCTTGCAGAGGACGACTTCGACTACTTAGCGAATACGACGACGGTTTTTGCTTTGCCTGCAGCAGGATGCTTGCTTTTTTCCTTCTTTTCCCTTTCTTCGTTTCTTTTTCTGGTCCGGCGGATCGTGATCTGCGTCCTTAAGTCGACGAACGTCGTAGCCTCCCACTGCTGCTACTACTGCTACTGCTACTGCTACTCCTACTATTCGCGGGCCGGAAACACAACCAAGGACGCCGGCTGCCAGGTCGATGCGGAGGGGCCGAGCGAGCATCTGGGAATCGCCTCGGGAGGCCGTTGTCCCGGAGTATTCGGAGAACATTGGATATGCCTGTGATATCGGGCTGGCTGCTGGATGGGAGATATTCGGCTAAGTCCTGCAAACCCCTGGGACAATGTCGCCTGTCTGGCTCTGCTGCTGCTGCCTCACGTTCCATATATAAATTATGGTTGCATTTGGACAGCTCATGAAGAGAGACAATCCCCCCTGTCCAGACGCACAGGGGACAGCCGACCAGTCCTTGGGACATTTGCTTTCGTGATTGCAGGCATGCCCTTCGCTTGACGAGACGCACCTCGTTGGCTGGCGGACATTAACCACCCCGGTCCTGTCATCATCTCCTGTCTAGGCAACGAGGTACAGTAGTGTGCACTCTGAGCATCGTTGGCCGGCAGGGTAGCTGTGAGCAGATGGATCGTACGCGGCGTCCGTCTTGTTTCTCGACTAACCTAGCCAGGGGGGGGGGGTTGCGGAAGCACGCAAGATTACGGCAAGAGAAGCCAAAAAAAGGGCGTGCCCGTGTATCGGTAGCGCTCGAAGTGTGATATGTATCTTCCAATATCTTCCATGCAGGGATCACTCACATATTCGGTGGGTTGCCACGCCGTCGAGTCTCGGCAGAGCATGTCCGGAGGGCTTCTGTGGAGCTCCTTGGGAGTTGTTCTACTTGCCCGCTTCCTTACTGCAGACAGGCATGTCCCTGATGGGGAAAAAGAGCCCTGTGACAGATGCGAGGGGGTGATGAAGGGAAAAGCTCGCCAGCTAATGAGGCTTGTTGGCGGCTTCAGCTGTGGGCAGGGGAAGACGATGAGAGGAGAGAAGAAAGACGGCATTGCTTTTCTCTTCTTTTGGCTCCTTATCTCTGTCTAATTCATTTTTTCAATGCTTGCTCTGCTTTGGTAGCCACCGGAACTGTCTGACGTTTCAATATTTCTGTGCACGGTGTGTCCCTTGGATGATCTTCTGCTTCCTCTCTTAAGGGGATTCACATCCCTTCCATCAGCAGGCCATCCAATTGTTCATGCTTGTCCGTACACAGCTATATCGCAGGGATGTTCTGGAAACGCTCAAAGACGGACAAGCAGCAGCAGCAGCAGCAGTCTGCGGCTCCATCTCCTCCAAGGCAGTCCGGCCTGTCTTCCGCCCCTGAGTCATACAGTCGACCAATCTCTCACTCAGGAACGCAGACGCCAGTTGGAATTGACGATGATGCAAAATATAAAGCTGTAAGAGCTTCATTTATATCCTATCCCTTCCATTCAATGCTACTCAATTCAATCAAATGCCATGGATACTCAGAACTGACAGCCCTAGATAATCAAATATCTGCATGCAAGGCTTGCTACTAGCAAATGGTGCCCTCCCCCATCAGATCCCAACAGTGAATACCATGGACTTCTACTTCGAAAATCCCGGGGCGTCTACATCTCCGAGCCGGATCTGGTCCATCCGTTACTGCTCGGCGCAGTACAGAAGATCAATGTTGCCGTCGCCTTTACCATGGCCACAGAGATCACCAGGATCATCTTCTCCATCCTGCAGACAGATCAAACCGAATTGATTCTCCCTAGCGGGTTCCAGGTCCAAGTGGTCGAATCTCTAGCAGAGATCGCTTGCTCCCCATCAAGCGCAATCAAGAAATTCCAATACGTGGCCTTGGTCAGGGAAGAGAGACTCCTGTTGATCTGGCATGATGAGCTAGAAAAGATCCTCATCCATGCTGAGGACGTCGAAGAGAAGCTCCTTGCATTCGTATGTTGTCATTCCCAGTTCCTTAGCCCAAGTGAGTATCAAACAGACAAGCGTTGACACCTGCAGTAGATCTGCGGAACGCGCATCTCCGTTATTGCTCCCTCGCAATCACCCAGCTACTCTCTTCCACACTCCAGTATCGGGTCCCCAGCTGCCTCAACCCGCAACTTTGTGCCCCTTTGGAACAAAGAGGCCAGTGGGCTGGCAAATTCCCCCCTGGGTATTCCAGACGAGGAAGCAGCGAAACCGATAGAGTCCCTGGACCGGCCTCTGGCCTTGACAAGCTCCATATTCGTAGGCCTTGGGATGTGTCTGATTGTAGTTCTCCTTGTGGGATTCGGTATCTCGAACCTCATGCTGCAATCTCTTGTTGACGGGTCCTGGCTTAGATTCACATTGGTGGCCTCCCTGCCGATATTCATGCTTTTCAGCGTCTTCTTCGTCATAGTGATCTTCTCAGATATCTTCCAGGCAATTGGGCCTATTA